TCTCCAAACACCACCAGAGATCAGTCTCAGGGATGTCTCTGTTTCTCTTGGGTGTGTAAGAATCAGGGTCTCTTCTCACATCTCACTGGAGCATATGGAAATCTGTATCTGACTCCTCTGTCTGGACACCCTGTTGCAGCCATGCCTGCTGTCCTGGCCCTCTGTCATATTGTCTTGCTACCACTGGCTAGGCAAAGCACAGGTTCCCTCTGCTCTCAGAGTCCTGAAACCCACACTGGGTTTTATCTCATGACCCCACACAACTGAGTCCTGGTGGAGCACTTCAGAACCTCAGCTTTCCTGCTTAACATTCAAGTTCCTTCTCAGTTATGGAATCTCTATTTGATTCAGTAGGGGTAAAATTAGGTCTGACTAATCCTGTATTTTATAAACACAAGGTGACAAAAGTGAACATGTTGGTGCTGACATAAGCTATGATTTGCACATGCTTCCACAAATGCAGTAACTTCAGCGTAAGACGTTAAGACTAATGTTAGCATCATACAGTTGACGCGGGTATCCACGATTTCTCCAGTCCTGCTCTTCTTCACCACATCAGCCTGGGCCTGATGCAAATTGGTTTTGCATGATGTCTTGCCTACTTGTCATCTTGAACCCAAAGCCAAAGAAGAATTAGAACAGGCACTATGCAGAGAGTGAGTGTGCGATGGAGCAAAATAACACATGTACAAGTGAAAAAGGGTGGTGGTTCTGGAGGTGGACAGACTCAGATTAGAATCTTGGCTTTGCCATTGAGTAACTATAGTTCTTTTCCCTGGTGCACAATGAATCCCACAAACTAGACAGCCCGAAATTGCCACTTTTTATCTCCCAGGTCTGCAGGTCAGATCTGGGCACAGATGGGATGCCTCGCTTCTTGGCTCAGGGTCTCCAGAGGCTGGAGTTAAGGCGTCGGCCGGTGCCAGGTCTCCCTTGCAGCTCACCGCTGTTCTGCAGGCAGTATTCTGACCCCTGTGGCTGTTTGACTGAGGTCTCGGTTTCTTGTTAGCTCTTGACTGGGATGGTCTCACCAGCTAGAGGACATCGCTAAGTCCTTGCTATGAGCTGATGTGGCCCCCCACCTCACCCCCCCCGCAGTTCCACCGTCTGCTTGGTGGGGCCGGGGATGGGCGGGTGCTGGCCCCTTCCAGGCTCCTCTGACCAGGTCCAGCCCACGCCAGACAACCTCCTTTCTGACTTACTTGAAGTCAGCTGACGAGGGACCTCAATAGATCTGCAAAACTCCTTCTGCTCACGCCTTACCATCCCTGTGGGAGTGGTAGTGGGTCACAGGCAAAGCCTGCTCACACTGCAGGGAACGGCACCCACAGAGCTTACATCGGGACGAGGGAACCTTGGGGGCCATGCTGGAACTTTCCAAACACAAAACTGTGAACTCGGGCAAGATTTTTAACCTCTCTGCTTGTCTCCTCGCCTACAGAATGGGGATGATGATAGCGCCCCCATCAGGAGGTTACCGGAAGTGTTCGATGTGCATTGCCTGGCTCAGAGCCTCTGGATCCGGTAAGAACAATAGACATTTGTTGTTGCTACTACTACTAATTTTTGGCGTTAACTGAACTCCCAAAAGAAAAGTTGTCTTATCTTAATAGCACACATAGCACAGGGCCACAATTTAGGGCCCCGGGATGACAATGGAGTGAAAAGAACTTGAGTATTTCAATGACTTTTGTGGGGAATAGAGGTGGAAGGCGGGTAAGTCTGAAGTTTTCGTCTGATGACCCTAAAAGTTCAAGTGCTCTCGGGAGCCAGGAGCCTGGGTTCTAAGCCTGATCTTATACCGCTTTCCACCTAGGAGATCTGGGGACTCCTTTCTCAAGGGCTGCTTCTGCCATGATTCTCTGAATTTTATCAACACCCGGTTTAATTATTGTGATTCCTTCCTTCTCAAGAGATTCTCCAAGACTCTAAGACAACTTCCGCGGGACACTGTGCAGGGAGTGGGTAGTTTTCAGGAGGGAGTGGGTAGTTTTCAGGAGGGTGTGTGTCCTAGAAACCCCTTTGGACCCAAGTACAGTGAGGAAAGCTGGTTCCAGAGAATGAATTTCACTGTCCAAGGGCATCCACGTGCCCCTTGGAGAGGACTGATCAGAGAATACGGTTATGAGCACAACCTCTTCACATGCCCGAGAAAGCGTGCAAATACGGGCTGTGTAAATAAATGCGTACGGACACCCACATCTGACTGTGGTGTCTGAGAAGGAAGGAAGGGAGGAGCACCTCCTGGGTCTTTAGATTTCTGTCATCTTCTGGCTGTTACAGAATCCATCTGATTGGTCCTCAGTAACAAAGGAGAGAATCCACTGCACCTTCAGAAAGGTAAGGAAACCAACGCCTGCAGCACTTTCAAAAAACTGTTAAAAACATGAACTCAGGAAACCAGAAATGGTAACCACAAAATGAAATAATGCATTTCATCCTTCCATTCGCAAGGAGGAAAAGAAGTAACCACTTCAACAGAATCTGCAAGTAATGGAACATACGATTGTTTGTCAAGTCAAAGGGGCTGTCACATTAACTCACCTCCACCAGAAGAGTTTGACAACGAGCACATTTGAAAAGAAAGCTGATAATTAAGTACAGCATCAGAAGCAATCAAAGATATTTATTTGAGGTTATATTTTTTAACGCCTATTTTTGTAGATTCTAATCACATAGAATGTAAAACCAGATTTGAAAAATACTATCATTCATTATTACTTAAAATGTGGAATCTTCTTCAGTGGATTGTCAAAATATAACTGTTTATGAAACATATAAATTTATAACAAAAAAGTAATTGATATGAAAACTGTTGTTATCTGTGGCTGCAAAGTGACCTGAGTCATTTTATATTAAATCTCCAAATATCAGTTTATAAATTTATAAAATGAGGACACTATAAATTTTATAGTGCCAATGCCACACTGTGTGAGAACTCACATCTTTAGTTACTTGTGAGATCTTTGCATGTAGGATCCGTGTACAATTAAGCTCTTACTCCAGCTACAATAAAACAAATGCTTGTAACATCCATATTTTTTCTCCATCTGTTTTATCAAGATGCAGTTGACACACAGCACTGTATATCTTTGAGTATAGCATTGGTATTTCTTAACTCCTGCTGGACACAAACTAAAAGGACCTTGTCTTTAACCTTAAAAATGACAAGACAATTTAAGACTATACTTTGACTGCAAATCTAGCAAAAA